ATTATGACGATCATTAAAAGAACTTTAATATAAAAATGTCAATTAATTTTTTAAAGTATGTTAATCAAATAACGATTGTTAATTTAACGAATTATAAAGAAACAAGTGTGTTTCTGGAATCGGAAGAAGATTGAATTTCTGTTCAAATTGTGGGTCCTTCAATATATAATGGTTAACATTTTCAGAACACTCTAATAAATCCTATTAAAAGATTTCACATCAATCTGCAATTGCATAATTTGTTGAATAAGAAAATTTTGCTATCAAACATTAATTCAATCTAAATCTTAAGTTGACAGCCTTGTAAACAGCTAGTCTAGAAGAGATTAAAATCAAGAAAGATAGGAAACACACATATTCCTTTTTTTCATTTTGAACCATGAAAATAAACTCTCGTTTTATAAAATAAAGAACTGGGAACACAATTCTTACTGAAGGGGATCAATACCAGCAGAGGAAGTTCTTTGAACAATGTCACTGAAACTTGGTCGAAGAATGCTCCTAAATCAGACAGACCATGTCAAAAGTAGCAACTTCTCTCAGCATGTTGAGTATTTTGAAATATTATTAACGTTGAATTGATTTAATTTTTTAAAAAAAATCAAAGACTACAATAAAGAAAAAAAATCGCTTATAAATTATTTCCATATTCATGAACATGTATTCGACACTTCAGTCTCCTAATTATAATTATTCATAAATATTTTTTTTTTCAGTTTCAAGTTAAATATATTGCTAAACAATATCAACTTCATACAAATGTACGAAATCAAACATACCCTTGAACATGTAAAAAGTTTAAGGACAGATAAAAGTGATTGAACCTTACTTCTTATCACTAAAAGGCCTTTAATATTTCGAAAACGGATGCATGTTTGCTTTTAATGATGGGGTGAAGGTTACAGCATGTTCCCGTACTAAGGGACACAAATTTGTTTAACAGTGATAGCAAAACTGTCAGAAATATGCTTCTTGACATAATCAATAAAAGGCCAGTTTGGAGATTCTAATATTTCTTATTTTCAGAATGGGGTACCTTTCAGAGGGGTAGCGAATGAATATAATGAAAAAATTTAATAATTAATTTATATGAGGGGGGGGGGATATTCTGATTGAGAATAAAAATATTTTAAATACAATATAATATGTAATGTATAAATAAATAATGTATAAAATATAATTATTATTGATCATGTTGATATAGATGATGTAATGTATATTAACACAAAGACAATACACAAAGCTTGGTGGATTAAGGATGTGGAAGGGAATAAAAATGATTCTTATGGGTAGGAAAAATACAAAAAAAAAAACAAAACACAGCCATTCTCATCATTGCAGCCTTCACATAATCATAAGATCTGCACAAATTAAAAGAGAGCCTGAGACTTTACAGAAACCTTTTTTAGTTACTGATATTTGTCCGCCCTGCCTTGTTTGGCAGACTTACTTGAGCTTTGGTTCTGCCGTGTCCTCTCTTGAGGAGCTGTGTATCAGTGAGGGCACGCTGTCCTTTCTCTCCTCATGATGCTCCTCGTGAGGCCCCTCGGGGGAATCTGTATTATCCTCCTCCCCCTCATTGTCCCCCAACAAAAAGCTCACCTCTCCATTTTTCTTTTCTTTACTCATGATATGATTCTACAATTAAAAGGGTGATTCTGAAGAAAAGTCATACTTAGTGTGATATACTAAGGGTATTAAGGTAATAAATTCTTCAATCTCAGAATTTGGGTATCAAATAAATCCTAATACATTGAGTTTTGAAAATAGATTTCCATGAGAAGAAAATGGACTTGGAGACACTACCATGAATCTGCCAATTTGCAAACTGAACATATTTAGACACACTCTAAAACAGACACCAACTAACAAAATCAGGATGTAGAAATAGTAGGTAGTTATATAGTACTATCAGTGAAATAAGTAAATTTGATAGACTCACATTAATATAAATCCAGTTAAATTCAGTACTAGCAAATAATGAACCCAAGAAGATTCAGAGTAAATAATCAGTACACACTTCTGATCTATGTATTGTAACTTGTGGGGAGCTACTATCTCAGTAGCCTCAATGATTTTGAAGCTATAGTGACCTGAAAAAATGTCATATTTTTTTTAATTTAAAGTGAACTTGGGGTAAAAATATTGCATGACAAAGCCCTTGACTTGAGTTGTGCATTTTTTTTTTCAGGTGAACTTGAGTGGAAATTATCGCATGACATATATTCAAAACCAGAGGTGAATTACACATCTTCACTATCTTAACACACAATGGTTGTCCTTGAACTCTAATGTAAATAGACATTTTCAGGGACGCTGTTAATCATGTTAATCTTGCACTTTTTAAAGCTAATGAATAAAACATGTATTTATAATATCTTGTGTTTTAGTGACAAATAAATTTATAATTATTCAGCACATTCATAAAATTACAGCATAGAACATGTACAATGTGGATTATATATACAAGTAGTTTTGCCAATTATTTTCTTTAAATTGCAGTTTCGATAAAATAGGTTCTAATGCACTCTTTCCTTACATTTTAAAGGTTAGACCAGCTGGCATATGATTGATCAGGCTAGCTAGGTCTTAACAGCTAATATAGCCCTATGATCCTGGCATGGAAGAGAGAGTTTTGAACAAGCAGGCATGCACCAAGCTGTAAACTGAAGGCACAACATTGACAACAGTTTTGAGTAATATAATCATTCAACTTAAACAGATGGGTTAAGGGTTCAGCCAGACTGACACTCTAAGCCTGAGAGTGCAGAACTCTTTACCATTAGACTTCCAGACCAAGATAATATTGAATTTACAAAACAATCTTCAATAACATTTACACATTCTTTACCTTGCTCTTAATTTTTTAAAGACACATACAACCTTGGCAACAAGATGGGTAAATAAAACAGCTCTTCCCTTTGAAAGTCTTAAAGAGATGCAAAGTGTAATGATACAGGAAAAAGACAGGAATTGTTCGCAAAAAGATATCTACAATTCAATTCACCAGTAAAGTTGTCACTGCATGGGAGCTCTTAAAACATTGTTTGGGCAACGAGAAAATTTGAACATTGATCCAAACAAATTTTTTTCTGCAGTAACCTGTGGTCCCTTATGGGCCTTAATCCTTAGTGAAGTGTGTCTCATCGCAAAGTACGTTGTCACAGGAACAAGATGTTCCAAGAGAAAAATAAAACAGGCCTCAATTTTGATGGATATATAATATATATAGCAGATAAACAGTAGATCGAACCTTCTTGATTAAAATTCTCACTGTTCAGACCATAAGTTAGTAATGCAATATATGTACGATGTCAAATGGGGTAAGAGTCTACACACCAAATGGCACGATGTGACGAGCCCGATCTCAAATAAAACTGAATAAGTTTCTGCCCTGGCCCATTTTTTTAACATTTTATTTATTACAAGTTTACAATCTTAATAACTTAATCTACTTATCATGCTTATACTTGCTGAAACCATAAACAATATGATTTTATGCACACTCTCTTGGTCTCAGGAGTCGTCATTTATTAATAATGTTAAAATAAATTAGAAACAATCATAAATCCTATCAATGAGCAAAATTCACGTCTTTTCATTTATTTTCACTTAATTGATAAAATTGCCCACTAAAAGATTCAGTGCAGCACTCTTCTCCAGAGCCAAATGCCCACAACTTATTTTTTCTTACTAAACAACCGTAAACAGGTCCAGTACAATCACTAGATTTAGCTACGTAGGTAGAATTACCTACGTAGCTTTATTTACCTACCTCAGGTATCTTTATTTAGCTATTTCAAGGTAAATTTTCAAAAGTTTTTATTTTATTAAAAAGAGGCAAAAAGTCGCAATTAAAAGACTATTGATATTTATAATAGGAAGGTTTTAAAAAACAATTCAAAGCAGAGATAATTTATACATTGCTGCTTTTGGACAATTTAGAGGAAAACATGTAATTCCATTGTTTGGTTATCTGACCATGCGGTGAGGCATGACTGAGTATGATTACTTCACATTGTGCTGAATAATTACCGATCTTTTATCGTGTTAGCCGGAACTGGACTTCTTTGTCATTTCATTCAAGGAGTAACTGTTCTAACTGTCATACATAGCCCCAAAACTTTCAGAACTTTGATTGCAATTTCGCAGAAAAAGACATTTTTCCAAGAGGGATTTTTTCATGAGTTGTTTTCAGATGAGTTCAAAGTTGAAAATGATCACTGCATCAAAATGATATTTTCTGCACACTCTGAGAAAAATGATTTTTAATAGAAATAGATCAATTTGGTAGCTAAATAAAGCTACCTCGGGTAGGTAAATAAAGCTATGTAGGTGAATCAAGCTACGTAGCTAAATCTAGTGATTTTACTAGACCTGGTAAACTACTGAGTAAACAGTGTTGAATTTTAAATTTACTCACCAAGACAGAGCATTTTAAATCACAATGTCATGTATAACATATGTTTGTTTACACTTACCTGCCACAAGAACACTGTTCTACAAAATCATGTTTCTCGCCTGATATTGCTAAATGAGTGGCGTGAGTTCCCTGACGAACGTAAACTTCAGGGTCAAAGGTTACGTTCGTTATTAAACAACTCGTACGATTAAGTTTGAAACGTAAATTGCCTCATTCAATAACAACATCTAATAGGGTTTAGATATTGGTTATATTCTAAGATAGAATTTATGGATACTTTAAATCTAAAAAGGCTTTCTATTTGATCTAAGAGCACTTCAACTAGAAACTGTACGCACGCTGTATAGGCCTATCTAACATAGGGTAAATGTCAAAATTAATTTTCTAAACAAAGGCTAAACAATATTAAAATCTTACCTACATAAAACAAAGTTAGCTTAGTGTATTCAATTTATAGTGCAATATACTTTTTAAGTACATCAAACCATTTCAAATCGAAAATTATATAGTTTTAGTTTTTAAATAAATTTATGTTCCAAGATTATCCGAAAGGATTTTTAGCGCTTTTCGAATCGACGCCTTCAGACATTTGGCGGCAAATTGCGACATTGATTTCACGGGGAAATTTGTTTGAGGTAAACACGAACTATTTGTCTTCATTATTGCAATTTGAGTATGTTTCATGAGTGAACATTAGAAAATATTTTTGAGAAAACGTTACTTTAACTACTGAAGAGACTAAAACACATTATTTAAATAAACAACACCATAAAATAACGTCGTGTACGAGTGCAACATTGCATGGTATGACCAGGGACCTATATACTAACTTTAGTATATAGGTCCCTGGTATGACTTGATTTCCCTCAAACATGATTTGTTTTCTATATGTTTTGTTTGATTTTACAGTTTTATCGAATTAAATTAATGGGTTTTGTAAATGAGGGCTTTTTCAAATGGAAAGATATATAAGATGCAATCCAGAATATCTACTTTATATCACTGTATATATTTATCACCATATTATGTCTTCTTTGAATCAAAACCCACAGCCGGACGTGGAGACCGGTCCTGAATCGGATGAGACCACATAAGGCAAAGTCATGTGTCGCAGTAGGTGCAGGCACTAAAGAGATCCCTCCCTGCTCAATGGCCCAAGTTTTAAGTGTAGGACAAAATTCGCAGCTCTCCACCAGCAAGTGGGGGCGTCTCTGTATGAGTGAAAAATTCTCGAGAAGGACGTTAAACAATATACAATCAATCAATTTTCTTTGAAAGCCCCATGGGTCCAAAATATGTTAATGGTGCGACCATTAGGGCATTAAGCTCTACAGATACCTATATACAGATTACATTTAGGTTGGGCTTGTCAAACCACACATGACATTCAATGCAGCTAAGACTCTGAAGACACATGACGTCCTATATGTATATTGCTAATACCAAACTGAAGCCTGATAAGGCTGATTTAATAAGGAACCGTTTTATTGACTATTTTTCTGCAATAAATCCATTAAATCACGACAAGTTTATTATTTGTTTAACTTTTGTTGTCATTTTCGTGAAATAGTTGCTTTACACCCATTCTCAGAATAAGTGGTCATTTTGACTAAATTCATGTCTCCTCGCCCTACTTGAAAAATATGACGTATTTAAAACATTTTATGTGATCTTTTGCATTCATATGTAACTATACTCACAGGCTGAGAACTAAAACTCCTTCAGAAATCGATATTTTCAAAAATACAAAGCAGAAAACCTAACAATTATGTCAATTTTTGCGTGTTGTCAATAGGGTATCTTAAGTTTCCGCATTTATAAAATCATCTGTATGTTTCTAGAGCTCTTCATTACATCTTAGTTTCATGACACATATGCAGACATTTATTTTAAATAAGTACTGAAATGTTTACGACCATATTCCGAATTCATTTTTCAACTTGATTTAATGTCGCTTAAAAGTATGTAAGCTACGTTGCCGATTATAAATGTGTCTTTTTCAGTCTTAAATATCTTTTACCTCGCATATAAACATTAAAAAATTAATTAAATTTTATGTATCTGTCAATTAAAATTTGAATCAAAATACACAGGGGACAAAATATCTCGTACGAGCATCTGCAACCTGTATCTTTGATCCGTTGTTTTAAGAGTGTAAGCTACGTGATCATGAAAAAACTATTATGGTAAATATATCTAGATTTCTGTGTGTTTATTTTATAATACATTGTGTGTATGGTTATTTGTAGATCGAACAATTACGGTAGTCAGTACAAAATTTATTATTCTACCTACTAATAGACAGGATGTAATTTACGTTGCGTAATCTACGTTGCCGTCCTCTTAAATAAAATGTAAGAGTCAAGCAGTATAGATTCTTTTTCATGAAATTATAGTGATGTTGGTTATATTTTTGCACTGTATATGACCATCTACCGCTTCTGACTGGACGGCACGCCCGCTAAAGCTGTTAAACTGCGGATTTCAACGTTGAAAAAAGAAACAATAAAATATCTGTCCTAATCCAATTTTGAAGGTTAGAAATTAAATCTTTAAAATAAATTTTGATTTAATTCAAATGCTCTAGATCATATGTTACATAAGTTCACCCTTCGTAAATTGTAATCATTGAAAATTGTCGGCACGAACAATATGTAATCAAGCAGTCATAGTATTGTAAGCTACGTTCTTTGCTTGCTTGTCTATAACTTATCAAGTGATGATTTATATACATGAAAATCTCTATCTACTAAGTAATTTCATCATTTTATTCAGAAATTTTTAATGCTGAAGATTTAAATCTTGCTACATATGATTAATAAAGAAACAAAGAATATCGATAACGTAGCTTACGTTTTATCTCAGATAAAAGAGATATCGAAAACATCAATATTGACAAAGTATAGGGAAATATTTTTAAATTTTGCTGGTTATAGTCTTTTGTCTATCAAAGATCATTCATATATTCAAAAATTTTAGTATTTTACGGTTAACTTGAATAGTAAATGATGTTTTTTGTAATCTACGTTGTGTACCCTGTAATCTACGTTACAGGGGTATGTCTTTTAACCACAATGAACCACAATGAACCACAAGGAACCACAATGAACCACAATGAACCACAATGAAACCACAATGAACCACAAGGACATCTTAATTTAATTTTAATGAATCTATATATGGTTTAAATGTATTTTTAGACATCTGAGTCACACAGGTGACCTATTTCTTTCTGTTATTGTTCGACGTTGTGCCTCTTGTCCGATTGTTTCCTTATCAGCTCCTTTTCTTGAACAGCTTATCCAATTTCAACCAATTTGGCAGGGTAAAAAGTATCTATAGGTAAAGGGGAGCAAAACTTTTGGATTTCAAAACTCTTACCCACAGGGCCTGAGGTGTGGGACCAAAACCAGACAGATGGACAGGGCAAACGTTATATATCCCTGAATCTTTCATTATGGGGGCTAAAAATGGAGGTCAAATATGTATATGTATGTGTCATTAGAAAAACAACCCTTTATGTATTTGGATTACAATATTGTGTGGAAATCTTCAAAGATGCAATAAATCAAAACACTCTTTTTAAATTAGTGCAAAAAGGTCATATTAAATGTACCATAGCACTAAACCAAGCATATTGACTTCCATTTTTAGCCCCAATAATGAAAGATTCAGGGGTATATAACCAAAATTGGTTGAAATTGGATAACCTGTAAAGAAAAGGAGCTGGTAAGGAAACAAACGGACAAGAAGCACAACGTCGGACAATAACAGAAAGAAATAGGTCACCTGTGTGACTCAGATGACTAAAAATTAGGGATGTCAAATCCGTCAATTTTTAATACTCGGTTACTCGGACGTTTTTCCAATCAAGTACTTGGATACTCGGTAAATGTCTGAATAAATATGAAAAAGGTAATTTGATAACTGTAAAACATGGTAAACTCTTGTAGAAATAAAATCACATGGTCTGATGGGAGTTTTATCTGTAAATGTGTTGTACATGTAACAATTACAATCACTTTGTGCCTGAGGAAATTTAATTTAACATTTTTTTTTTTCAGTTCAATTTATTCACCAGATAAATACGAGAAATAAAATTAGTAATGGTTTACAGTGGTTTTGTTTAAAATATATAATCTGTTCCCTAATTGTAATGTAACTCTTTCATGCGATTGTCGTCCAAGTGATAAGTCGTCAGAGCTACATGTACAGTATCAACTTGATCAAGTTCTATAACAGAGCGGATTTACAATCTTCATACACTTTTCCATCCTAGATTTCAAAAAATTACGAGACGGTATGTGTAGTTCGGTGCAACGATGGACATAAGAATTTTAAAGCCTTTGCATTCAACCATTTGTAATAAATTAAATTAGCACGTAACCAAACGCATCTATATCAACAATCGCACGTACAATATCGTCTGTTTCTTTCCCCGATAATTTACCGCTTCAGGGGGACGAAATTATCTAATTTCTTTAAACATAACAGACCTTAAACAAATAATTATCAAACTAAACATAAGGGCAGAGGACAGTCGAAGGTGAGAAAAGCCAGGTAGGTAGCAGGTGCTTGGTCACGGTAATTACTGTATAAATACTGCCACAGGCAATAACGGCCATTTAGATGCAACAGATTTTAGTATTCGGTACTCGGACGTTCGAACGAGTACCCGGTTAACATCTTTACTAAAAATACATATAAACCATATATAGATTCATTAAATCAAATTAACATGTCCTTGTGGTTCATTGTGGTTTCATTGTGGTTCATTGTGGTTCTTTGTGGTTCATTGTGGTTAAAAGACATACCCACGTTACAGTAATGATATTCTGTATTTCTCTTTTGATATTAGCTTTAAGAAATCTGTGTTTTTGGAATTGCATTGAATATGATTTAATCAAACATTTCATTTATTCGGTTTCTAATAATGATAATACTCAAAGTTCTGTTTTAACTCAAAAGATGAACGGAAAAAGAGTTTTTGTAATGAACAATTGGTGTTATACATTAATTGGTTTGTGTTATCGTAAATACTTTAAATTGATTAAGTTTAGGACATTTTTCGAAGGAAAGTATTTCAACTTCCCACAAAACATACATTTTCTTTATTTTTATTAATTCTTCTCAGAAATTCTCAGGTTTATCATTAAATGTAAATGTGGCAACGTAAGTTACCTGTAATTTTGATGGGTGTTACTTATGTATTCATATCTTTTACATTTATTTTACCCGAGTGTTCAAATTTTGTGAACAAACAGGTGAAATACAAAGGTATAAAATTAAACCAAAATCATAAAGATAAACAAAAAATATTATTTTCACAAACTCTGTTTGAAAAAATCGACTTATTCTGAGAATGGGTGTTTAGCTAGCTTTTGTGTATGAAGCGATGCACTGTGGGTCAAAACTTACAAAAAAATTTCCATTGCATGAATCTCTAGTACATTTCATAATGCTTTAAGAGTTGTGCTTATAAACATGCAGTGAAAGTGTCCAGCTTTGAACTCACCTGAAAATAAGGAATGTAATTTTCACATGTTATATTGTGTCTCTTTGATGTACAGTTATCCAACCAAGGAAATGCATCTTTTGCATGAAAGTATTCAAACGATCACAATGATGATGATAAAAACTACCTATGGTTTGATTACTCTTTAGAAAGCCCATTATGGATTGTAATATAGGATTAAACGTTCTTTTTGAAAAATTTATCGATGTGTAAACTCTTGACATTTAACTCACAAACTAAATAAAAAGCGAAGCACTTTTATGTTAAGTTTGTGAGTAAAATGTCAAGAGTTTACACATCAATAAATTTTTCAAAAAGAACGTTTACTTCGTATAACTCAATATCGAATTTTTATAAAATATTCAAATTATTTCTCTTTGAGGCCTCCATACAATCCGTTATTTCTGGACGGCGTAGGAATACATTTTACCGTAAAGGAATGTAATCGAGATGAATTTCGATAGAGTTCTACTTAAATTGTCAAAACAATCGATAAATAAACTTATAACAACTAATCGAATGTTGTTTAAGTCAACAAATATCGTAATTACGAGTTTACTTCAAAATTGTTCGTCTTTGACCATGGCCATGTTGACATAGACAACAACTCTCATAGTGAAAGTTGCAGACCGAAGACTCCTTCAATTTGCACTTGTTTATTTAAATATTGAGGAACAGTATAGAAAGTAAATATGAATTTGATGCTAATAGGGCAAGAGTTTGACCATGTTGACGTACGTTTCTTTTCCCTGTCAAAACGATACAGAATGAGCTTATTTTCTACGTATGAACGTTGAGACAGAGATTTTTAAAATTCACACTCGTGACAAAAACATTTTCACGGCGTCCATCTGTTAGGCAGTGTAATATGTTTCCAGTTTTGTTTAAGCCCTAATTAAATTTAAAGTTTCTTGTACTCATTTGATTATATAGCCAGAACAGACCCAGAAATAACTGCTAACCTAGTAGTGTCATCAAGAAAGTACATGTAGTTCTGATTGAAAGAATTTATTGATGTGTAAAAAATTTTCTGGAACGTGTTCTCGTCCAATCAAAACACAGGAAATCAATAGATAAAATGAAGATTGGAATGATAGAAAATTGAAACTTGTTGTCTATTTCTCACAAAAACATTTAATTTTTTTTGAAAAACTGCATTTAATTTTATAAAAATTTTATTGTGCTATTCTGAATACCTTAGTAAAGCTATAACTGTCAAGATAAATCAAGCAATATAGCTAAATCAAGAGATAGTTAGTGCTGTGTATGTCAATAAACTGCATATGTTGATTGCCATTTAATTTATTCAATAAATTATGATGGCTTTAGCATCAACGATTAGAGGCAGACTTGTTCAACCCCATATATAAAAAATGTATATGGAATTTTGAAAATTGTCTGCATGAAAATGATGTTATAATAAATATACTTTTGTTTTATTTCAGCTTTTCAAACCCATTGTTATCATGTTCAGGGGTTGGATTTCTTCAGTTTCTTCCAAAATATCCAGGGCATTAGGTACATCATCTACCAATAGATCAACAGTTTTAAAATGTATTATCCATAAAGATAGATTACTATAGTGAGCAGTTCTCTACCAGGAGAATTTGTTTTTTAACCAAAAGTACAATTTTAAGATGATACTAATGCATGTAGTATTCAAAAACTTGATTTGTTGACCAATCACCGAGTTTTTATGCCCCCCAATTGAAAGATTGTTTTTGTCCTGTCTGTCTCTTTTCTGTCTTTCTGTCTGTCTGTTGGCAACTGAAACCTAGCCCATAAACTATTGAGCTGTCAGGGGTAAGTGAGTGTACATACAACTTCAGTCTACGATCCACCCCAGAATTGTGCTACCATGGGGGCAAAGTGTTTCACAAACTCATTTTTATGCCCCGCCATGAATATGGCCGGGGCATATAGTGTTTGTCATGTCCGATTTCCGTCCTTCCGTCACACTTTGTGTTTAGCTCTGTTCAAAGCTAAGTTTCAAAGACACTATCAATTTGAAAGATATTTTCATCAAACTTCATATGGTGATAGATATTGATGAGAGCTATGGTTCATCTAGGGATGAACACTACCAGACTTGCTTCGGATGCTGGATCTGACTGACATTTTCAAGACGAATGACCAGGTAAAAGTTTTAGGAACAAGTCCATTCCTAAGAAACTATAAGCCCTACTAAGACCAAACTTGCATGGATGATGCATCTAGGGATGGACACTACCAGACTTGCTTCGGATGGTGGATCTGACCTACATTTTCCAGATGAGTGACCAGGTTAAAGTTTTTAGAGCAGGTTCATTCCTAAGGAACTATAAACCCTACTTGGACCAAACTTGCATGGATGATGCATCTAGGGAGGGACACCACCTGACTTGCTTCGGATGATGGATCTGACCTATATTTTCATTCCCAAGTTACTATAAGCCCTACCTGAACCAAACTTTCATGGATGATGCATCTTTGGATGGACACTACCAGACTTGCTTCGGATGCTGGATCTGACCTATATTTTCATTTCCAAGTAACTATAAGCCCTACCTGAACCAAACTTGCATGGATGATGCATCTAGGGATGGACACTACCAGACTTGCTTCGGATGCTGGATCTGACGTACATTTTTATTCCCAAGTAATTATAAGCCCTACCTGAACCAAACTTACATGAATGATGCATCTAGGGATGGACACTACCAGACTTGCTTCGGATGCTGGATCTGAGAAATATTTTCATTCCCAAGTAACTATAAGCCCTACCTAAACCAAAATTGCATGGATGATGCATCTAGGGATGGACACTACCTGACTTGCTTCGGATGTTGAATCTGACCTATATTTTCATTCCTTAGTAACTATAAGCCCTACCTGAACCAAACTTATATGGATGATGCATCTTTGGATGGACACTACCAGACTTGCTTCGGATGCTGGATCTGACCTATATTTTCATTTCCAAGTAACTATAAGCCCTACCTGAACCAAACTTGCTTGGATGATGCATCTAGGGATGGACACTACCAGACTTGCTTCGGATGCTGAATCTGACCTTTATTTTTATTTCCAAGTTACTTTTAGTCCTACCTGAACCAAACTTGCATGGATGATTCATCTAGGGATGGACACCACCAAACTTGCTTCGGATGCTGAATCTGACCTATATTTTCATTCCCAAGTAATTATAAGTCCTACCTGAATCAAACTTGCATGGGTGATGCATCTAGGGATTGACACTACTTGACTTGCTTCGGATGATGGATCTGACCTATATTTTTATTCCCAAGTATCTATAAGCCCTACCTGAACCAAACTTGCATGGATGATGCATCTAGGGATGGACACTACCAGACTTGCTTCGGATGCTGGATCTGACAAATATTTTCCAAACAAGCAATTCAGCTGCATCACTATTCTGGATATTCTGATCAAATTTTAAACACATACAAATTTTCATGTTGCTTTACTGATATATCCTCGGCGGGGCATTCATGTCCTATGGACATATTTCTAGTGTTTTGATATATTGATAATATTGCAGTTTCATATTTAACTTAATTTTTTTTTTTTGATGATAAATAGGTGGTGCACTTGATGCAGAGTTGGAGAGCGAAGAAGACGTCAACACGTCGTCAGAGATAGAACACATTGAGGAAGGAGAGCTGGCAGAGCACACTACCACTGCCCCAGAGAACTTAACCCCAGAGGAGGGGGGTGACAAGGTCACTGCGGATGTGTTCCCGGGGGAGGAGGGTGAGGGTCGGGCGGTCACGACAGAGGAAGCCGTGGATAGTAGAAACATACCACCTGTCGTACATAACACCTCGGGAACCTGTGTGGATATCTGTCCAGAGGAAGTTACCAGTGAGTGTACGGCCTTAATACACAACTAGAAAGGCGCTTACAAATTTTAAGTAGGACAAGATTTATTAAATTGTGTGTCACTCTTGCTTGAGGATTTTTTTTTATCTGCTGTGACTACACAAAAATGTACAATAAAGGAAAAAAATATTTTAAATATTAGATTTTAAAAAAAAATTAACAAAGGTCTGCCATAGTTGATTTATTGTGCATACTAAATGAATATTTCCTGATTCACTAGACATTGTTGAAATCCTCAGTTATTGTCCAGCTTAATGTAGTACTGTCATTTTCAGCAGATCAGGCTGAGGATGAGGGTGCGGGTTCATTCATTGTGGTTAGGGAGGACTTGGAAATCAAGAGACCTGCAGGAATGGATAACTCTGCCTGGGAAAACATCTCAGTGGTCCAGGAATCCAGTCCTGAGAAAGCAGCAAACTCATCCAATTCAAGTTCTGTCAGAGCGGAATCATCTGAGTCGAGTTCTGTCGGAATAAACTTGACATCCGAGTCTAGTCCTGTTAGAGTGGAATCGTCCGAGTCTAGTCCTATCATAGTAGAATCGTCCGAGTCAAGTCCTATAAGACTAGGGTCATCCGAGTCCAGTCCAATCATAGTTGATTCATCCGAGTCAAGTCCAGTTAAAGAAGAGAGAACTGAGTCAAGTCCAGAAAAACCTTTTGATTCGTCTGGAAGTATTGAAGTCATCCATGTAGAGGACTCGGATGAGGTTTCAGAAGGAAAGAAAGGACAGCCCAAACAATCCATGTCTGAGAGTATTGTGATCATTGATGAGGAGGTCAAAGGTCAACCTGAGCCTCATTGTGGAAGTGACCTGGCAGTCACGGCAGCCATGATGGAGTCTGTGTGCCGAGATCTGGATGGGACCAATATAAGCAAAGCTGAAAAGACAGATAGTGGAGCCGAGGGGACAGTAGGTTCAGAAGAACTGACAAGTAAACAAGGCTCAGGGGAGAATGTGATTCCAGAGGAAGTGAGGAACAGGAAGATTTCAGAGGTCCAGGAAATCAGCATGCTTCTGTCGGAGGAGGACACGTCTATCAACATGGAGGAGCTCTCTCAGAGATCCTCACAGGGGAAAGAGGATGATCAGGGCAGTGAAGAGAAGGAGGAAAATATCAGCAAACAAAAGGACATAGAGTGCAAAGAAGTGGAGGAGCTATCTCAGAGGTCCTCACAGCATAAAAGAAATGATCAGGGCAGTGAGGAGAAGGAGGACAATATCAGCAAGCAACAGGACAAAGAGGGCAAAGGAGTGGAGGAGATATCTCAGAGGTCCTCTCAGGGTAAAGGGGATGGTGAGGGCAAAAGAAAAGAGGAGCAAAATATCAGCAAGCAACAGAATGAAGAAAAGACCTCTGAGAAGCAAGAGAAGGGGGATAAACCAGGTTAGTTGACTGTGGATGCTTATATCTAAGCTCTGTGTTTATAAGATTTGATATAAAAATTGATGATGAAGGTTTTGTGTTAAACATATACTTCATGAAAATCTTTATATCCCCAGATCATGAGACCAAAAAGGCACAGAAAGGAGAGAAGACTAAGTCTACAGAAGTAGAACCGGAGGACTATCTGGAATTTGTTCTACAGAAGACGGCACAAGGGGAGGTAGTTCCAGCCAAACACCTCATCTATAAACTGGGCCTGCTGAATGTGGACCAGAAAATCATAGAGTCGGCCATACTAGACCAGTACAAAATCGCCGTCAAACGCAAGGTGAGCTTGTTTGTGTACAGGATGATAGTAAAGCTGGCCCATTGTCATTTTGTTCAGAATTTGGTTTTCAAAGGGTGAAAACTCTCAATGTTACACTCAACTGCATTAATATTTATATAATGTGCTACCTAAACACAATTATGATAGTTTGTATCACTCAATTAAAAAACATGATATACCAGTGTATTAAAAAAATTGTAGTACTACTCTTTTGCAGAGCAAAGTGATATACTTTTGTAAAATATGATGTAAAAGAATTTTTTAAAGATGCATAATTGAATTGTCTATCAGCAAAAACTGATAATTAATTTTCCCTGCAAAAGAGTATTTTCACAGTTATCATGAAAAGGCTAATGCTTACAAATAGTAAAGTTATTTTGTCTATGACTGTTGACAGTAAATAAATCATGTAAAATGCTTGGCTTTTTCAGTTCGTAGTTTGGATTGAACACTGTCGGTACCACGCTGAGCTTCTCTTCTCTCCTCCCTGGATAGCAGAGTAAGTCAAGGTTTGACAAGATAGGTTCCAGTGTTAATTTGAGTTTAGAGTTAAGAGTTTATCACACAAAGGCCTAAGTTACAGCTTACAGCTTACTCTTTGGCTCTCCTCAGGATCCTTCTGGATCACATGACCAACTTGTATTTACACCCCAATAAAAGTAAATGATGCCTTATTTCTTAATTGATGAGACATCTGAGAGCATGCAGCTTTAGATGCTGGATCTTGCATTATGAAGATGATTGTAGTGATATAGTTCGCAGATTCAGAAGTAAATATAAGTCCTACCCAGACCATAGTTACCTAGAGGTTACTTCTAGGGATGCACAATACCTTCTAAGGCTTTGCCTTACACAGTTTCATCATATCAGCTTAGTTATCAGTTAATATGTTGAAGACATCATGAGAATAGCTTTTGTGTTTCTCTGGAATCATTACAATAAGACTCCTTTAGTACCAATACGGATATTGCGAATTCACATATATTGTAAAGTCATCTTGATCATCGTGAATCCCCAGCTTTATAAATTTAATAAATTTCTTACATTCTTATAACCATGGTAACAAATAAAGGATATAGCAAAATATTGCATAGGTCCCATTGACTTTTTATAACAGAGTTCTGCTGTAGCAAAAAAAAATTTTTATAAATTATTTATAATAATTTCATTTTTTAAATAGTTTTTTTTTTTTAAGTAAAAATAAGCTTTGTTTTTCTCTTTTCAGTCACTTGCCAAAACTTGGTAGTAATAGTGCAAAGGAAAAGAAAAGATGGCAGGCTAGAAACCAAAGGTACCTGTTCTAGTAATAATGTCTATGTGAATATTGTTATGAGGAAATAAAAAGAAATTCTTTTAATGTAAAACTGCCGTTAGGCCACACCAATTTAATTTCTTGGTCTTCGGATTTTTGACAGAAAAAATTGGGGCGAGCGAGCGATTTGAAAATTTTAAAATTAAAAATCTGAAATTTAAAAACGTAGGAGCGATGTAAAATGAAAAGAGGCGAGCGATAATATTTTATTTTTTAAAAAACTGTTTATTTCAATTCACAGTGATTCAAGTAGGAATCATACATCATGTAAATGTCCAATTCACAACACTGTATCTTTTAAACCTCTTGGGCAGAATATCTTCCCCCAAAGTTCTAAGGTCTCCGTGAATATTTTCACAGAATTGAAATGAAGGTTGAATAATTGAATATTGTTCATAAAAAACAGAAATATAAGGGTGTATATCATCCAGTAGATTTTCAGTACTTCAGCAATGGACACACAGGTGGAAGGTAGTGCTTTAAAGTAGTTGCAAAATAACTGTGCAGTTTATGGCCTCCTTTACTACTATTCCTGGATCCTCTGTGTCGTCTGGTACCAGGTATGTTAATGATTCTCTTTTAATCGAATTAATAGCTTCTCCTGCAACAAATTTCATTTTTGAACAAGCAGTCTGACAATATATCCATCTTAAATAAATTTAAGCTTGTAAGTATCTGAAACTGCAATTCAAACCAAAAAAAGTAATAAAACATCCCCTCTACTTACCTTTTCATCACTGTAGAGTGTAGACACATCTATGTTTTGGTCACAAACAATAATATCTTGAACTGTGTAGGTCTTAAACACTTCCCTCAACAATCCCTGTTTTTTCTATAATCTGTGTCTTGACCATACACCTATTCAATGTTTTATGAAAAGTCAGATTCAAATAAGTTTTTACAAAGTTATGTCCTTTCAGGACAATAGTGCAAAAGAACAAAATTGAAATTTCATTTGACATAATATCACTGCTTCTTAATTTATAATCAATTAATAAATAATATCAATTTCATAAGGCTTGCTACAAACACTTCTAGGTTTGCTAGACAAAGCAGTTTTATGCAGTATTTTATAAACATAATAAAGATGCTTTAAACAAAGATTCAAAGATAATGTAAGTTTTTGAGTTATGATTAATTGCTCAAACTTACATTGAAGCGTAGTAGATATTTCTGAAACATCGATATCAGCATTGTCTGCAAAAATGAATTGGGTTTGTTGGTTTTCACGTAAACGTTTTTCAACGATCGAATCTGTCTTTCGAATAAACAGTAAACTTATTTTTCAATTAGTTCGAAGAACGTTCCCAATTTAAAATTAGTAACAGTGTTTACATTATAACCCCTCCTTCCTGATCACTAATTTTTACCACGAACACAGGCAGTCTTCATATATTTCTCTGCTCCTTACTAGAATACAGTGACAATCTGGCGCGAAAGAATTGTGATACGATCAATGTAATTCAGAAATAGACACGTGCGTTTTTGAAAGCCTTGATTTAAAACGCAACCGTGACTTGGAATGAAAAAAATAAAAGTAAGAGTCGAAAATGATGCGGAAAACGGAACAAAATAATCCGGATACGGGAATTTTTTTTAATATTATTTTTTGGAAAGTTGTAAATTACATGCGCGCGGGTCCGGCGACCAAGATATTGAATTGGTGTGGCCTTATAATAAGGATATAGGAAGTTTTTAAAGTTCAGGAGCTTTAAATTGTTGTTGACAACAATGAGAGGACTTAAGCCCCACCTCTTTGTTATATGAAATCTTGCTATTGGCTATTTGCAACTAGTTTGACATTTGGCCAAATTTCTAACCCATGTATATTTCAACAGTGAAGAAAAGCTATGTAAATTTCAGAAGCTAATTATGTAACATCAAGAATGCCATGCCTAAGTGCAAGTCCAAAGTTAACTGAGAATTGTACAGAGTTTAAAGAAAACAATGCTACTTAAATTATTATACCCCCCCCCCCCCCCTCCGCAAACGAAGTTTAGAGGGGTATATTGGAATCACCATGTCCGTCTGTCTGTAGACGAGACTTTGTCCGGACCATTACTCAGAAACTATTGGAAGGATTTGTTTGAAAAAGTTGTACACATATTATTCACCATATGAAGTTGTGCACCTGATATTTTTCATCTTGATTGGATTATTATTTTGAATTTTACAGGTGTTTTTCCATTTTTATTTTGTGGTTTTGTTTGGACCGTTTCTCAGAAACTATTGCAAGGATTAATCTGAAAATTTGTACAATTATTATTTACCATATGAAGTTGTGCTCCTGGAATTTTCAACTCTTTTTGTTCATTTTTCTGCATTTTACAGGTTTTTTAAAATTTTAATTTACTTGTTCATTTTGGCTCATGTATAAGGTTTGAGACATAGAATCTAGAATATCTGTACAAAAACGTGAACTACAGCTTAAAACTACTCATAAAAACTCAAAAAAAAAGAAACATCAAGTGTTAAAAACAGTTTTTACATTGCACAGAAGATAATGTAATTTCATTTGTCTCCTGGGTAATAATGACTGGACATGCATCCAGTTAAAGATAAATTAATGAGTTTTTGTTGGAAGTTGTTTAGTCATGTCTATTAACAAGTGTGTGTGTATTATCAAATCTTCAGGGAATAAGGCACAAGAATTAAAGATTTCTCTTCTCTTATTCTCTTAATTGTAATTTATTGTCTGTCAAAACACTTCATTACTGGATGACCAGTTCTTTATTTTCAAAATGCATTTCAAATTGATATATCAAGATTAATTTGATTTTGTATAATGTTTTTTTTTTTCAACAATCAGTTTGCAGAGTGACATAACACATAATTGCAATATATTTTTATACGCCCGTCTTAAAGGCAGAGATTTTAAGCACCGCCTTCAAAAATACCTGGTCTGAGTAGCCCAGTCAATCAAGTCCATAAAGGTCCATCATTGGATGCTGGTACTTGATTGACAGTTACTAACTGGTCCTTGTGTATACCCTGAACATCTTATTTGGGACTCTTACTGACCTTCTAATTAACTTTTGATCCTTTGATGTTTACTGATCAGAACATAGTATACAGAAACTGTATAACCATGAACATTTTTAGATTATAATGTATGAATGAAATATCACTTTAGTATTAATATCTGAAAGGATTATAATATAAGATGCATTAAAAAAAAATAAAACTTTGGAACATATTTTTTTTTTCAAATGAATTTTGATATATTTTAATTTTAATATTGTACTATGCTAAATGATAAATCTAAAGTGAAATGTTATTAATTCAGTTGAGAGAAGTACTGCATAAGGTTATTAAATTAGAAAATAAAATGTTTCTAATCATGGGTCACTTAATTTATTTAAATTTCCCTTTTTAATCAAATAAGAATTTACAATCATTATTTTTAACATGTTTCATGGTGACAAAGCTTTATCAAGGTAAGGACAGACCCAGATATTTTATCAGCGAGACGTAGTTAACACAGCTCTCTTTTCATTCAATTCATAAATTGGATCCTGGGGATAATTGAATTATTTTAGTCTAATTTGGTTGTCACAGGACTTGTTTTTTTCTCTTCTTATTAATACATGAATACATTGCTTTGCATTTACGTCGAACACAATCTTTGTTTTAATATTTTAACTTATTGTATGATATTATAATAATCTTTTTACATGGGTAGGAGACTGTTAAATCAATATACAATTAAAAAAAACTGTTACTACTTATTTGAAAATTCTCTCAAAATCACCAACACAGGTAAGGTTTGACACCTGGGGTATTTCACTGTGTATTAAATCACTTCCTGTGTATAGGGATTATGAGACAGATGACCACAGGTAGACTGCTAGCCCCCAAGGCATTCACACCTGTACAAAATAAGCTCCTCCCTCACCTGGAATTTACCACCCGGTAAAAAATCTCTGCCTTTAAGACAAATTTTATTATGTTATAGGCTTCGTGTCTGTCTGTCTGTCTAGCTGTCCGTCCGTCCGTCTGTTAGCTTTTCTCGTGTCCGGCTCATAACTTTAATACTATAAGGCCTAGAGTTATCAAACTTTGTCATCTGATACATCTTGGGTAGAAGGTGTGTCGCGCACAAAAAGTATGTTGCTCTGACCTATAATTAAAAAGTTATAGCCAAATATGGAAAAATCCTGTCCAGCCATAACTAGAAAACTATAAGACTTAGAATCATCAAACATGGCCAGTTTATGCATCTTAGGTAAAAGGTGTGTCGCGACTTATTTCAAGGTCACTGTACATGTGACCTTTAATTTAAGTGGAATTTAAAAAAAAACAATTAAATATTTTCTCTTCATTTACACATTCAGAATAATGTAATATTATTGCACTAACCTTATTAGAAAAATGTTAAATCAAGAAAATACTTATTTTTTAGCATATACTTGACAGCAATCTATAACAAATATAGAGTATGTTAGAGAAATTCCACCACTCCCATGAGTTTAATTATCAAGCACTGGTCAAGAAGAATGATAACAAAAAATTGCATGACAATTTAGAGAGAGAAATTAATGAGTTTAGTGTGAGGAGTAGCTGTAAGAGCATCGGTGCTATCTATATATCCCTTGAGTATTGGGCCAAATGGGTAAGCCTGTTGGATTAAAAATAGCTCTTGTTAGGTAGCCGAAGTTTGAAAATGAATTTGATGAAAAGTAATTAAAACAAATTTGATACTGCATATTAACTATTTTGATATTACAATAATATTATGAACTTGAAAATTAATTTTATGGTGGTAGGGGTGGAATCTGCATGTCCACATGAATTGCATATTAACAATTAACTGTCTGACATTAAATCCAAAAAAAAAAATCATTGATGTTTTATATCTTTTAAAAATGTTTTATGGTAGATAGCGCAGATCCAATAATCTTCTGGGAGTAATGAGTAGACAAGCATCCAGTTAAAGATTAATTAATGTGTTCAATGTAGGAATCTCTTTCATTTCTTCAGAGCATGGTCTAATCTGTATCCTTCGGGAATTAGAAGTAGAGCTGTTGGTCAGTCTTTTATTTCCAAAATTAATTAGGTGTAGATTAAGTTGTGAAGACTAATTTGATATTTTTAAATATGGTAGGCATTTGGCAAGGTATGGAAATCTATTAATGATGCAATACAGTATTTGTTATAATTAATGCCTACACCACAGGAGATAGATAAACAAATTTTTAAAGGTGTGTAAAAATCATTGAAATCTAAAAATCAAGGTTGACATGATTTTCCTGCACTTTTAACTGTTTAAGATACATTGTGTTTGTATTTTTTTGACGGGCGTATCATGCTGTGGCGTGGCACTTTATTTCAATGCAGTAACAAAGAAAAATTAAATGAAAATTTTTTTTTAAAAATGTTACAATGGAATTACAATGTATTAGTATTGATGTTTCATTTGTTTGCACCTCCATTTCATTCATTAAGAAACATGATGAGCAATTATATTTCACTGCAAATTTTTTAAAGTAAATTGTGAACAGCTCTAGATCCATAAAGTATTTTTGAATTGGCACCTTCTCTGAAAAACCCAGCGGGGGGTATTTGTCCCTATTGGACATTTCTAGTTCATTATGACATGGGTTATTTCCTAGTCTGATATGTTAATAGACACAGATCTCTTTGTGAGTGGGAATGTTATTCTACATATAGAAGTATACATTCTTCATTGATATATCAAATGTTTCAGATGTTTTTAAATTTTTTTGCAGGAGAGCCAAAAGATGGGAAAGAGAGGCCAGTGGTATGTGTCGGGACGTGAGACTAGAGAAAGACCCAAACATCGACATTGTGAGGGAGAACGCTGCAGGTGACCTGGAGAAAGTTACTGACAAATGTGATGCTGACCATAAGACTAAAGACATTGTAATTGAGGCGGATATTCATGGTGAAGAGCAAATTGAGGAAATTAAAGCAGAAAAAGCAGTCTCGGTTGAGGATGAAGTTAAAGAAAGAGGCAATGTAGGACCAGTTGACAAATCTAGTGCTAATCAAGAAAAAAAAGACAAAATTGAAGAAAATGTTCAAAATGTTATTGAGGAATCTAGTGCTATACTTGTATGTCCTGCTAGGATTGCTGAAGATGACACACAGAAGATTGACACACCTAGTGCTGACAAAGTCTTTGGAGAAAATCATGACAGGAGAGATGTCTGTGAAACCTCTAAAGAACTAAAACAAACTGTACCAAGTGCTGAATCCTCAGTAATATCTGAAAATCTTCACGAAGCAGGAGGTGAAACTGGGTCCAAATCTGGAGCTGCTGTTGCACAAGTTGATGTGGTACATAGGAAGAAGGTATCACCGTGTAAGAAGGGTAAATCTGTGAAGGCCAGGGAGATTGACCTTTCTGCTTGTAGAAGAGAGGGCATGGAGGCGATTGAGGAGAGAGAATCCCATTCTGGAAAAGAAAGGAGAAAATCTGACTTGTATGATAAAAGGAAGGATAGAGTAGATGATAGTGTGTCAAGGGAATCGAAGAAACCAAAGACTGAGCAGGAATCAATGGTTTGTGAAATGTCAATGAAACAGAGCAAAGATGAAGATGAGAACAGGTTAAGAACAGACAAACGTGACATTGTATCAGAAAAGAAAGTAACAATTCCCAGTGATTCAGACTTGTTCAAGGAGGTGGAAGAATATGCTAATGAAATTATTCAGTCCAGTATTGATGTTTTGAGCCTTGAAGAAAACAAACCAACAGACATTAATTCAAATAATGGACAGCATCAGTCACGCTCAACTGAGAGAGTAGACGAAATGATACCAAACTTGGCAGAACTGTCGATGGAGTCTAAAAGTGCTCAGCAAGAAAATGTATCGAGAGATGAAATTACAGCTGATGAGTCTTCTAGACTACCAGTATTTAGTGAATTGAATGATGCAGGAGCATCAGAAAATCAAGATTTCATATATCCAAGCATACAGCAGGTGATGTTTGAGGACAGGTCAGAGCACATGACTTCCAGTTTATCCAGTTTTACAGAAACAGAAATTGACAGTAGTCCATTCCTAAGGAAGGAATCTGAGCAAGAAATGCTGACAACTGCCAATAGATCACCACTTGCTGAGTTTTCAGATTCTGTAGCTAATGAGAAGGTGTTGGACTACATAGAAAAGAGCTGTGAGGAAAGCAAGCCTGAGTATAGCCACTTGGAGACAGATCCAGGTACTTTATTGGTCAGCCCAGATTATGTAGTGTCACCAAAGTTTGAAGTTCCACCAAACACACCTGCCTCTGGTTGTGCAGAAATTTCTCAGCCTGCAAAGTTGAAAAATCTCAATTTGATGCAGAATAAAGCCAAATTGGAGAAAGAAGTGGCTGATTTGTTGTCTGGATTGACATTGAAATTCAGGCATCCAGTTGGGTCAAACCTGGAAGAATTTCAACCCAATGATTCAGACACTCGTACAAAGACAGATGATGATAAGCATAGTTCTTTGAAAAGTAAAAAAACCGAAGTTAGTGATGATGATAAAGATCAATCCATTCAGACTGCAGATAGTGCCATAATATCAGCCAACAGCTTTGACACATCAGTAGAAGAACTGGAGAAGATAGATATTTGTGTGAAGCATGACCTCAGTGCAGCAGAGGAAGGGAGGTGCAGTCCAGAGGAGTACCTGTCTCTGTTACAACAGGTGCTCCCTAACGTAACATCCATCACCAAGCTGAAATCGGAGCAGGACCATGGTAATGTTCAATGTAATGTTGTCTCATCTAGCAACAATGCAGAGTGTGTTCGAGAGAGTGATTCTTTAGTAAGTGAAGAAAGTGGTGCTGAAATGTGTAAATCACCCACAGAAGTAGTCAATGATTGTGATTTGTCTGTGGCAGAGAATGTTGAAGTTCCTTGCAAATTACCTAATGATACAGAAAAGAAAATTTCTATTGAGAAGGCTACTGAGGTGATGGAAGAGGAACTTGATGCTGATCAAGAAGTGTTTACTTCCAGGGATGATCTTGCTTTGGAAGACAGAGCCATGAATAGACCAGAGGACCCACATAACTACTGCCTCAGTCAAAGCGATGGAGCAAGACTTTTTAAAAGTATGTACGAAGTCAAGAGACCTGAGGATTTGCTTGATGGCGTCTACCATTCTGATGTTACAAAGAAACGCTACAATTCTGCTAAATCCTCCACATCCAAAAGCAGTGAGAGTGAGGGACAATTTACCAAACTGAAAATGTCCAGAAAGCTTTCCAAGTCTGATGAAAAATTGAAACAGACCTCAAAACCTCCCTGGAATAGTAACACTAAAGTGAATCATGGGAAGACTGGGAACATTACTCCCTCAAGAATACCTAAAGCTTGTAAAACCAAATCAGGGAGTCTATCAAATACAAAGCAGATGGTGGAGAAGTCGAAATCTGTGAAGGGGAAAAGTGAAGATTTACCTTTAGAAGCAAAAGCAGAAGTTCTGAACAAACACTATGGTGGAGATGTTTGCAGTACTGATGATGCATATCAGAAAATTGACAAAGATAAGCATGGTCATGTTGGAGATGACAAAAGTGCTTTTTCAAAAGACAGTCTGAAAAAACAGTCTGCAGTGGATAGATCTGTCAGTTCAGAGAAAAAAAGGAATGCAGATCAAGCTCAGAAGGTTCTGTCTGAAATAGAAAAAGGAAGATGTGAGATGGATCAGGTGGAGAGATCCCTGGAATCCAAAGTGGATTCCTGTTGTCAGTCAGTCCAAGCAAGTGGAAATGTGGAGGAGGAAGAAAACCAGAAACCTACTGCATCCGCATCCACTAAAGAGAAATCTGTACCCAAGTGGAAGAGCAAGAACTCCAAAAAGAGCAAAGGTCGACAAAAGAATCGGTGGTGAAAGTGCAAAGAATTTGTACCTGGACTTCATATATTTTTTTTTTGTTGAATCAGTTCTCATTTGGTCAGTATTATTCAAACTTAGAAATCTTTTATTCATACAGAGTTTTGTAAAAGAATCCTCACGATAATAAATATATTTTGAGCTAATATTTTTTTACATTTTAAAGTTAAACGTGATAAAGCAAATCCAACAGTTACATGAATCCAAGGAATCCATGATTGTGAAAAAGTATTTTTACTAAGTCATAATAATGCACATTTATGAAGGATATGGACTATAACAAACCGTATTCAATATCAAAGTCTTTAAAACTATATGAAATAGCAGAGCAAACATGGACCTCAAAACATCAGAGGTGGGATCAGGTGCCATGGAGGAGTGAGCATCCCCTGCCAACAGGTCACACTCGCTGTGTGTTCCTCGTCTTTATCGCGGGAAACGGGAAAATCCATCGTCAATTCAGTGTATAAATAATTGTTTAACCTATGAAGCCGTCAGTCAGACTTTGGCTCAATGATAAATTGTATTTGCTGACAAGATTATTGTATCAGCTATAGAACTTATGAAATGATAACTTTAAACAAGACTGATGATATTTTTGTTTCAAGAACTTGTTTGTCAATAATTTACCTTGTTTAGAAATCGCTCGTACGTTTAGAATGTTCTTGCGTTTCGAATCAATAATGATTCAATATGCAGCCAGGTATAAATGAAGGTATATTGCTGCATCCTAGTAAGCAATTGAGGATAGAACAGTTCGACGATAGAAAAGTTGGAGTCATCACGTTTATCGTAGAGTTTAGTTGTTAGATTATATATATCACGTAGAGTATGACATATACTGTATTTGATGATTAGCGTACATACCATAAGCCTAGCTTTGGTTAGTCCAAAATATTTTGCGTTTTCAAGGCTTTTTTACGATTTTGATATTTTACGTGACAGGAAAACGGCAGAACTGGCGCCATTACGAAAACTGGGAATTTGCCGCCTCCAATTGGAGGCGGCATTCCCGAGTTGGGGACAGACGAGACTTTCCTTAATAATCGATAAACATATACCAAGATTTTGTGATTGAATTATTGCTACTTTATTATCTTTACTCACAAAAAATTGAGGTACCTTACCAGGTATTTTTGCAAGATAACAGGGGTAGTTTTTCTTTTATAATCCTTTGGGAAGAAAAATAATTTTCCAATTGTATATTTTAAAGGTGTTTAGGAATTAACTGGTTTAGAAATCAGAATAAAATTTAATATTTGAATATTTTTCATGAATTTCGAAGATACACTATACAGATACCGGTATTGAGAAATGTCTCATCTGACCTTAATTTTAGATACTTGCAAATTGAATTAAATTTCAAAGGCACATGCAAAAGTACAATACTTCCTTCTTACCAGTATAGTTTTTATTGTTCATTTAAATAATATATAATCCGTTGAATAGATTTTATCACACTGTCGAGATTTGTCATCATTTCGTGCATTTTAAGGTCAGGGGAGACGTTTCTCAATATCTTCGTAATGTATGAAAAATATTTAAAATTTTAATAACATTCTGATCTCTAAACCAGTTTCTAAACGTTTTTAAAAAAATCCAAACACTTAAACATTTGGAAAATTATTTTTCTTCCACAAAGGATTGTATATAAGAAAATCTATCCCTGGTATCTTGCAAAATACCTCAATTTTTTGTGAGTAAACATGTTTAGGTATCAACACTTCTATGACAAAATCTTAGAAAAATGTATCTATTATTAAGACGTCTCGTCTGTCCTTAAAATCTTGCAAGTACTGCAACGAAATTTGGAGAGAAATTTTCTGGTTATCGATATTGGTGAGTACTAAAAGCATTATTCTTCTGATAAATTCTGATTTCGGCATTTAGTTCGGTTCGCAAGTATAACAGAAATAATAAAATCCGGTTGGGGATGACAGTTTTCGTAATGGCACCGGTTCCGACGTTTTCCTGGCATGTCAAATATCAAAACCTTAATAAAAAGTTAGGGAACCATCAGATTTTTTGGACAAGCCTTTAGATTTCTTAAATCCGATTTTTAAAAATAAATCTGGTGTATACAAAGAAGGATATGGAAATAACGAACAGTGTTCAATCTCAACGTCCATTAAACAGATATACAAAATAAGAGCAGAGCAAACACGGACCTCCGAAACATCAGAGGTGGGATCAGGTGCCATGGAGGAGTGAGCATCCCCTGCCGACCGGTCACACCCGCCGTGTGCTCGTTGTCATAAACAGGAAATAATGGAAAAAACCCGTGGTCAATTCAGTGTATAAATAAATGGACTAACAATTGGTATGAAAAACGTCAGTCAGCATTTCATTCAAAGAATTTTTAACACCTCGGTTTAATAATCAAAATTCTAAATCCCAGTCATATAACATATACATACCAGAGTAGAAATCTAAAGAACTGATGTTGAATTTTCAACCTTTAATGACGATTTCTTTCATGATTAATATGAAGTTGATATTGGTAGAAAAACTAATGAAAGGATCACTTCATTATAAATAGGGATTTGACCTATAGGACCGGGCTTGGTTTTTTCTCTACAAAAACCTTGTCGATTTCCGTTCTGATTAATGGCATTAGGCTGAATACATGTAATAATTTGTTTTCCTAAATCTTTTTTCTCGGCGAGTAGAGGTGTAAGGAACCCTTTCTTTGATTTCCTGAGTTTGTTATCTCAAAATGTAATAATTGATATTTGTCTTAACTTCTCAATAAACATAATGGTAATGTTTACTACCTCTGAAATTCTATTCTTCATGTTTTTTAAGGCAATTTTATCCCTGAATGTAGTAAAACATTCCATTAATGTGTGCAAATTATATAGGCCTACATCAAATCCGAGGAGTACAGTTACTGATATGTATGAACCCAAAATCAATGTTATTAAATTCTACAACTGACATTCATCGCAGCTCAATGCTACCAAGAGTTCCTGTATTGAGTAACACAGAGTGAGTTATTTTGTCCTCGAAGAAAGTGTGCTTATACTGAGGTTCGTTCCGCCTGACTGACAACTGTACTATGAATTTTTACGATTTGATATCTCTGTAGTGTTTCTTATATCAAGAATGGGCATGCATAAAGGATATATAGTTGAAGGAAATTACACAAAGCTATAAAAAATATTAAAATAGTGTTTGAAAAGGCGAAAATTAAAACTTTAAAAGTGTGGTACCAGGTGGATTCGAACTCCCGACTTTAAAATGATAGTGTCCACGGTGAAATGGTTCGCTCATACATCAACTGAGCTAGTCTAGCTATAACAAGTGTGGGTATAAATTTGAAGCAGATTATCAACATCAGGTTTCCTTATTTTTTGTAGGTTTTTTGTGAATTTCGACCCTAGGGCAGGGGTGCCCCTAAAAAAATCCTATCTTAAATTAATCCTTACATTCAAACCTATCAAAACATCACAATTTTATTTAGGGGCAGGCCTGCCCTGAAGGACTTCTAGGCCAAAATTCATGCAAAAATCAACACTTTATCGGACAAAATGGTGTTTAGGCCAACTTTGGAGGTTTCTTGTAAAGTTTTTAATAATAAATTTTAATTATAAAACACAAATTTGAAAAATTTAAACATATATAGGGTAGAAAACAACAAATAGAGATTAATTATTCAATGTCACTTTTTCCGGGAAATTTTTCTCTCCTATAGGTCAATTCTTTTGTTAAGGCGAATACATCCTTTATGGAATAACCTTATGCAACTTGTAGCAAAAATGTAATTGAGTAAGAGGCATGGATTAACCACGCTTTTTCAGTTAAATTGATACATCTTAAATAATTGAACCTAAAATAAGGTCATTATGAGCCATATTTAGATTTTCAGATGTTTGTCTTAATTATAATATTCACGTTCCTAAAAGGTTGAAAATTTTCAAATATTGACAATTGATGTAAGCTTGACAAACTTTTTTTTTCAGTTGACTCACTACGATCTGAAAACTGGGAAAGTCATTCTGAGTCTGACCTAGAAATCAAGCATTATTTCGGTCAATATTTCTAAGTTATTTGCAGGAATTGAGAGGGAGGCGGTATATTAATTAAACATGATAAAAAGGAGGGGCGGAATGTTGACTAAATATCCAAGAAATGTGAGGTCGACACAGGGTTCAAATTACAGATCAATTTATTCATATTACTTTGACCAGCAAGAATTTGTCTTAGGAAATTTTTTGCTAAATTTAATACTCAAATCTACCTCTCACTGAAATTTACGAATTAAAATAATTTATACATGTACACGTATATTGATCGAGATGAAAAGAAAATTATTTTGTTAATAGATTATATATTATACTGCATGAATCAAAAAGGACATAGGGTGACTCAGAAGGAGATGAAGCCTTATACACTACACTGACTACAGGGAAACAAGGCTATGCATGCTTTCCAAAAATATGTGCCGTGAATTTAATTTAAGTGTGTTAGCCAGTCCCCTTCCAATAAAACGTCGGAGCATTTGGGGAGGGGGGTGCTGATAAAACCATTAAGAAGATAATTCTTTTCATAATAATTGTTGTAAGACATTTTTTTCAAATTTTAGTCAATCCGTGGTCTTATACCTTATAGGCCTATGTAATTTGTTTCAACATAGAATTCATGTAAATGCAGATACGCACACTCTGTCTGTGTCCATGGTGTCGGGTATTTAAATCTATATTTATCACCAATCAGGTAGTAAATAACAGATCTCGTTCAAGTCTCGTCATTCTGACATTCCAAAATCTGTAATCAAAGTCATTGTTTAAAGTGTTTCAGCTTCAGCAAAAACTGTAAGTATCAATTTCAAAATAAAAACAAACATTTCATTTCTTAAATTAACTACATTAAATTGCAAATGTGGCTACATATACAAGAGTTATATAAGCGGTAACTGATACGTTGTATAAATAATTTATAATTAGATATGTATATGTGTGACATACACATACATTTCTACTGGTTACGTGTCAATTCTGCTTTTATATTAAACATGCTCTTGGTAAACATTGTTTTGAATTTTACGGTATTTTTTTTTATATTTTTAGATGGCTTTTTCTAAAATGGTTCCCCACAGAGCCCAACACTTTTTAGAGTGTGGCATTGAGGAATGTGAAAGAAACTGTGAGTTCTATTGCAACCCTTGTCATCAAAGATTGTGTAAACAATGCAGCGAGGAAC